TTTCACGAGCTTCACAATTGTCCTAGATTGCGGTGATATTCTTACGCACAGATATATAAGAGTACGAGTGGGACATAGAGAGATGTCAAAAACTCTGCTTTAAAAGTAATGTTTTGGAAAGAGAGCATGAAATTTTTCGAATGCATGTTCAATGTTAATGGTTAATGCAGAATGTTTGTTTTTGAAAGCTGAGAAAGATCGCGTCTTACTTATATGTATTAGAATTGTAATAGAACATTGACATATTTCAGCATTTTCGAACCGTGTCTTCCAAATTGTCGATTCGTTCTTTTCCGTGCCATACTCGGCGTCAAATCGATAAATCGAACTCAGAAATCCAAAGATAAACTAACGTCTAAGATAAAACTAGAAATAAATTAATTTGCTACTCCGCAACGGTTAAGGTTAATTCGTGCAAAATAGGTGTTTGGTTTTTTCATGTAGGTACTTAGTTAATTTTCCCAACCTCACACACCAACGAATATACCCTGACACGTGTTTCTCCTCTCCAGGCATACTCGGGAGTAGTTGATTCAAATCAATAAACCGAATTCAGATATGAACTAACATTGAAGACTTAAGAAATCGGTTAACGGAGCTAGAATCAGTTCAGGATATATTGCGAGGCATATTGACAGATGGAGTAAAGCAACAACTGCATGGTAGCCAAGAAGTGGTTACAGAAACGAGCACCTGCAGAACAGATCATCATCGTGGAAACCATGGCAACAGTGAAATCAATGATTACAATGTTATTTTTGTGTAAAAACAACTAATCGTAACGTAGATCCAGTTGTATCAGTAAATAGAAGTTGTCAGATATAATATTAGTGAGGAGACGTATCTATATGGAACTATAGATTGATAAGGTTTTTGTCTGTAAATATCGGTTTCAAAACTTAAGAAATGTTGCAACTGGGTAAAGTAATACAATTACAGAACCACAATCTGTTACAATCTATCAATATATCTACGTTCTGATAATAATTAATATTACGCCATTTTCATGGCTCCAGCAAGGAGTGGTTCTATCATGTCATGTGCTAATTTGTACTTACGTAAATGTTGCGCCACCAAGATTGAACCGACTGCCTTTTTGTGCACGCCAATTGTACCAACACGAGTACATGTAACGTGTACATGTAATAGTTTTCTCTCTCGCTCTTTTATATTCTGTCGTAAGAGACACAATTATGGCACACATGTCACATAGCGTTTCCCGGATCATTGATTTGATAATCCTTATCCGTATCCGTATCAATGGGGTTTGGGTACTATGTAGTGCAAGATCAAAGGAAGTGTACATACACTTTATTTAATCAACATTGTGCCTACAGCTTTAAACCAAACAGAAGAAATAATGACAATAACAAAGTAAAAGGCGCAAAAAACAAGTATTTTTCAATTTAGAATTTCAATCTAAAACTAAACAGCTAAAATACACAAATACGCCATCTTAGCTACAGCTTTTTATCTTTTGTGGTGGAAGTCCCGAGTAACTAGGGGCTAATTCGCCTCGCTGAAGCCTATGGTGATCCAGTTTTGCTTTGTTTATATATAATATAACTTATTGTTTGGGAAAGGTAGCTGCCAGTCTTCCGGTCACATAAAACTTTAATTTCTCCTTACTGTACTTAAAGGAAAATTGTCTAAAAGCAAAGAGACTGCATATAAACTAGGTGTAATTTAACCGTCGTCTAAAAGCCATAATTTAAAAAACAAGCTTAAATCATTGGAAGGATTTTTAAGTTCTCTTGGAGAAATGCAAACGAAGTTGCCGGCGAAAGCTATTATTATTTCAAACAAAGAAATTGGAATGACGATATTTTTTGAAAATATAAGAATTGGTTGAGCTTTTGACTGTTGCGTAATTTCGTAGCAACTTGTGTATGTTTTGAGTATGTTCATTTAGGAAATGAAACTGTTTTTCCGGATTAAAATTTTTTCAAACAAACCGACGTTTCGGGACCTTTACAGATCCCATGGTCACGGTTGACTGGGACCTGTAAAGGGCCCGAAACGTCGGTTTGTTTGAAAAAACAAATATACGCGATTTAAATCCGGAAAAACAGTTTCATTTCCTATGTGTAACAATCGCGAAAACCTAAGAACTCGATATGTTTATTTACTTCTCAAATTGTTTATATTCTTTTGGATTTAACTAGTTGAAAATAAAGTTGATTCATTGTGTCATTACATTTGTCTGTTCCTAACTTGCTTGAAAACATATACTTATTGTGATTTTGATACAGAATCAAAACGTTGACTCCACGATAAACCACGACAATGGTTTCAATTTATACTTGCTCTGCTCTTTAAGTGTATAATTACATAGTTAAGTGAGCTGTAGATACAAAGCTCCAAGAATCTGCAATCAAATGATTCTCAAATGTACTTTGGGCATTATTTCTAAAAAGACGTGCTCGTACATTAACGACCGTGGCGAGTGACGCAACACCATGATTTCCGAGCCGTTGCTCTGGCTTCAATGCAATGAATAATTTTAATATTCTACGAAACACTAACTTTGCTGGTAAATGATTGCTGCATGTTTTCACGATCTCGGTGGCGCATTGGTTAAAGCAGTTTTATGAAAGTTCCAAGTTCAATTTCCAAGCAATTCCGAAAAATGGTATTTGTTTGTGGTTGACCCGTAAATGTTTGCGATAGAGCACAAAAATATTGTTTTCACAGTCGTGTATTCATGGAAGAACTTAAAGTCCTTACTTAAAGGGTCAAGATTCACTTGCACAAGCGCTCGTGTCACTATTGGTACATTTATGCTGTGTAAGTAAGCTTGATCGTATAACCGGTTTATTGGAGTTTTTTTAAGATTTATTCTGTTACATTGTATCTGGTTTATCTATGTTACTGGGCTTGGGATCAACTCCTTACCCACCTTATCCCTGTTCTTCGTCTACTTTTTGTCTGTTCACTTTTATCCATCAATCTACCGGTACACCGGAAGTAAATGTACCCATAACACATTACATAACCACACCATAGGAACAAAGTATTCGATTATCAAAACAATAGCTCCACAGATCCTCACCAACAAATATTAGTAAAGTTGTTAATAAAAGACATTGTTGAATAATGGAAAATGGAATTCAAGAAATTGTTTGTGTATAAAAGGAAGGGAATCTCAATAAATAGCAATACACTATTTATTGCGACTCTCTTCATTTTATACAACACTTTGTTGGCTTAAAATACAGGTGTTTATTCCTAGACCGACAGAGAACAAAAAAAAAACATTACCAGACAATATAAAACTTCCGTCATTCCAGTAAGTACATTCGAAAACAAAACTTGTATTCTTTATTGCAAACTATTTCCTGTATCATTTGAATAAGCATTTTTATTAGCGATTTAAAGAATTGGCATTTTGGACTATACACTTGTAGTTTATTTGGAAATACACACTTATAAGTGTGGTATCGTGAAGAAATCTCATTATCGAATTATAAATTCTATCATAAAAACGTGTATCCATACTGTACAAAATATGTGTGTTAATCCTTTTTTAATACGACTATAGGAGAAGAAAAGAGGCGCTGTGATACACTCCGCCATTTTCCTGAGCCATAGACCTTTTTATCTCGCACCTCTATTGTCTGATATAAAATTTAACTACAATATAGTTTATATTTATTTATCAATGTGTTGAGATGGCTTAAAAGATATGGAGTAACACCGCATTCTGCATTGGTGCTGGAAGCTACACGCCATAAAAGTCTCCGCCATAGAAATCAATATTGTATTTTTGGATTACCGTTATTTTTAAAAAAGAGTGAGTACAAGTGTCGAATAGAACATACATAATCGTTACACACAGAAACACACAAAGAAACAAAGTTATCTGTGTGTCGTAATAAGCTAAACTACACGATGACGGCAGCGCAAACACTCGCGCTTACTAACCAACCATTTAAAGGTCGTGTTTATAAAACGTACCTATTGAATGTTAAACGGTAGCCATAATGTGTTAACATTTGGTTATCTATTATTAAAGTATACACTCACGGGGAATGAATTAGGGTCGCTTACAAAAGAGGGTCGATTGCAAAGTTGCCCTCAGTGTATTAGCATCGTTTCTCGTGACGTCACTAGTTGGGAAGAATTCGGTGAACAGACTTACACTTTGTCAAGAATTTAAAGTGAAACTTCAACTGTGCTCGATCGCCGTATCATTAAAGACAGAGAGAAATGGCTGTTGCTAAAATTTTCTTCTGTCATCTTTAGCCTTGAACTCTCAAATTTAAAAAAAAACCAATACGACGGTTGTCAACAGTATCAACTCGTTGAGATTAAAAACTAAGAACTAAAGTAACCTAAACAAGGTACTACTATAAATTGTTGAAGAGTTGGATGTCAGTGGACTGGGAGACTGGTTGTAACATCAAACCAAAGTAACCGTATAATTGTAATGCCAAATTTCAACTCGATCACACCGGTGGAAGTAAAATTAACATTCGTTTTATGACTGAGATTCCTACACAACTAATGATCTTCCAATAGCTGAACCGATACTCATCAAACATAATTAAGAACCTGATGAATAATTAAGAATTTGATAACTTATGTCTCAGAGTGACAGGCGCAGTGGCAGTATCCATAAGATTTTTGCGATTTAAAGCTCTGAATGGCACTGCAACTGTTATGGATAGGCATGTCGCTTACTGTCACTTACTTACGCGCACGACTTGTTCGTCCCGTCAGTTGATATTATAAAAAAAAGATACACAGAAAAAGGTTTCCAACAACCCCGTTCTTTTAGCGTCCCAAGTGAAACACGACTTGCACCGCTTTAATTTTAACAATTCAAGCCTTTTTAGCCAACTTGAGATAATTAAACTTTTTACAAGGTCAACGCGAATTCATATTAGTCCAACTTTAAAGTTGACTGCGTTGTTTAATATAGATATATAACCCTGGCGTCATTACCTTAACAAATCTATAAAACATGATCTTTAAATTTCTTGTTTACTTATTTCTAGGAACAAATCCGACAACGTAAAGAAGAAGAGAACCGCATTGCTGCGCAAAATGAGTTCCTGCGCACGTCCCTACGTGGGTCCCATAAATTACAAGCGTTGGAGGCGTCTGCGCCGACGGCCGCCTTCGTCAACGATGCTTATGAGGAGGATGTCAGCGATGAAGGAGCGCAACTTTATAATATTGTTGGTAAGTGTCTCATAAGTTCATTGATGATCTAGGTGACCCAGCGGTTTGTTCTGTGGGCCCTACACGAGGTACCAGTGCGGAGAAGGTACCGGTTGTTAATTTGAGAAATGATGAATACTGTTGACCAGGTAATCATAGTACTGGGAATTCCTTAGTTTGAGACCAGGTAGTGGTCTGGCACATTTACTTTATTTATTACTATCATAATATGGCTTCATATTGAATATTCTCCGTGTTCTGTTGTATTCTATTCAAAGTGTACGAATGTTAGCCAGCAAATTAAACTATTAAACATAGTTTAATTTGCTGGCTAACATTCGATTTGATAATGGTTTTATACGGATCGTTTGAGGCAAATGTTGGTTAGTCTTTTCAAGATTGCGCCCATGAAAGTATTTTCAGCTACTCTTACAAACCCATGCTGCTTAAGAAAAGTTTGAACAATACGACGAAGAGGTCGAACGTCTCTAAGCGGGTTTAAGTCTGCAATAACAATTTCATCACCCACTAACAGTGATAGTAGTTCTCTTAGCGGGATTTACGTTCACTATCAGAAAGCTCTTGGTACGACCAATTCAGGAAGTTATTTTATTCAAAGGGAGTCTTTGCGCTTTGCGTAGAAAAATAATCACGATAACCCAGTACAGAGTAGATATTTTTCTAGTTAGTTTTCTAGCTTGAGACGTAATTCATGCGATTGTTTAGTATATTTATAAATTTCAATAGCTATAATTCTATAATGTATCCTAGGTAATACACGATTACCTACTTATCGAGGTTATTAATGAAATTCTCGGAGTGAATGCAGTGTGCCTCGTCCCAGTTTTGTTATCGTTGTGCCAGCAGGGTCGGCAAACGAAGTTTATAGCTCACTTATTAATTAGGTACAGTTACTTGCACATCATGTTTGACACTCTGGAATTTGGACCATTGTTATAGTGAACGGTATAGAGTTGAATTTAAATATTAATTTGAAGACCGGTCGCTGTGGTAATTTTTGGGGAAGGTTTGGTAGCGTCTTCGACTGAAATAATGATGATTAATTCAAATCTTAAATGTCAAGATTGATGTGCTCTTGATCGTCTACAACAATAACCTGGGATCAAAAAACAGTTCTATTAAATGATGTACATAAGGTATGATTTAGAATCAACCCAACAGCTTAATTCAATATGATAACGTGAGGTTGAGACAAATTTGGTCCGACTTCTAGTTATTGTTCAAAACGCAACAAAAGAAGGATAAATGTATCAGATTGTTAAGCGACTAAATAATTACTTTAACTGTAAGACCACAGTTACTGGAGAATATATTTGACTAGATCTACAGTAGGTTGATATTAAGTGGTTCTGTTATCGGTGTCCGGAATTTGAGAAACAAGCAGCCCTAGCGAGTGAAACAATGCAGTCCGGTGAACTGGAATTAACACGACAAAAGATGCACATGCTACCTACTGTTTACTAAACTATAATGCTGTAAATCCATAGTTCGCCATGTTTTAAATCTGGCATTTTTTTATCCACAATATAAGTTAAATCATATTCTGCAAAGATTATCCCACTGATGAACTGCCTCATCTTTTCCAGTTTGAAGTTTGAACCTTTCGAAGTTAAACTTAAACTATACTCGAAACCCAATTTCCGGGTATCAAGTTCTGAAATTCTGAATATCAAAGATGTCGTTTCACTCTAAACTCTAGCAACAATCACCGAGTACCCCCTTACTTCTCTTTAGCCTCCTGCTGTAACCGCAATGTTATCTGACAACAGACTGATGAGTCTGTTCCCAGATCTACTTCCTCCTGGCTCTATGATTCTTTATCTCATCTTCCCCCTTTGCTAAGTGACTTGTCCATTTTCACTTTAGGCCATTGATGCGTTTGGATACATTAGCAAGCTTCTGTTCGCTGTAACAATACCTAACAAACGTTTTTGCTTGATCTACAAATACGTTTTATATATTCTGTTTCTTTTCATCAACAAATTTCTTTCCAGAATACGAAGACGTTATGATGGCGCTGCAAAGGGTGCAAAAGGCATTGGGAGCTAGTGGAGAGACGGCTCTGGCGGCGAGAGTAGCTGGGGCCGCGGGGACCCTGCTCTGCCCGGACTTGGTTATGGCCTTGGCCACCAGGACCACTGTGCTGACGGCCACGAGACATAAACGACTAGGGCTCAACCCACCGTATACGCACAGAGCTACAGATCGATTGAAAGACGTAAGCATAGTCTGTTCTAATCCATTTTGAACAAAAAGTAAACAAACCTGTTTGGTTAAAATTCTAAAACAATCACTCAATAAATCGAATAAGTAACACTTCCACGAATATTTCGAAGATTTATTAGATTTAGATATTAGATTTAGGCTTGATATATCATCACTTTTTTCAACAATATTCATTTAAATAGCATCGTAGAATCGTAATTGAAAAATGGTGGTCCAAAAGTGAGGTTATTTTTCATCTATACTTCTATGACTTGCCTATGGTTGCATAGTGCTGTTCGAAAAAAACATTCGGTTCAATCAATTAAAGTTTAGTAGGTAATCGATTATTACATCGAACATTTCAATCGCAATCGAATGCGTATTTGAGTGTAAGGATTTGAAGCAGGATTTGAATTGAAATTTTAAATATGCTTATATAGGTTATGTAAGGAAAACCGCGCAACAATTATTTAATCAATGTGTAGTTGGCGTTACAATTGGCCATCACTAAACCGTCTATGGTCGGGTCAGTAACTTCTTTGTTTACTTTTTGTTCAAAATGCATTGAAACGAAGTATAACAGATGTTGATTAGTAGATGGAAATTTGGCAACCGATATGGCAGCGGGTGGCGCGGCGTATTAAACCGCTGGGCAATTTGTAAAGTTTGGGATAAATGTGAATTTAATAACTACAGGTTAATTGAAAACCAAAATAGGTAGTACAGGTTGTCTGTAGTACTTACTTAAAGAGAAATATCTCCATACAAAAATTATGTGCAAACTTAGAGATTTTATTCTTAAATAATTCAATTTAGCCTGTTTTCAGTATTTTATATATAATAATGAAATACATCTTATAGTGTAATAAATTAGCATATTCTTTAGATAATATTCTTACGTGTATTAAGAACTATACAGTTCTTATTAGACCGATATTAATTTTAATAAATAATAGTAAGTACCTTAACCATTATGATTTAGTAAAACAATTTTTCCCACTTCTCCTCCGGTGACACAACTAGCCTTAATGCAGTTGCTTCCTCAGTGGTTTTGTATTTTTCTAACGTTTGTATCGCAGAAATTTAAATATTTAGATTTCTGTGGTTCATATACAGCGTCATTAGTAAAATACTAACAACCTTGCAGGACTATATCACTAACATCATAATCAACAACTATTGTTCCATGATTTGTGATAATTCATCTGGGTTTACTTTCGTACAAAAATAAAAATATTTAAATAGATCGCTCTGAACGATGATAACTCTGTGCGGCAACAAGAGAAAGTATGAGTCGTCGTGGAGGACGCTTGCACGTTTGAACTTACTACCAAAATATAGATCTAAAAATAATCAGATAGTACAACAAAAACTTGAAAGTTTTTGTTTTGTAAATTTATTATGTAATTTTGACGGCCTCTGTGGTCAAGTGGATTGCACACCGGTTTTCATGGTGTGGCTATCTGAGGTCCTGGGTTCGATCCCCGGCTGGGTCAGTGTAGAAACTAACTTTTCTATATTGTCTCGGGTCTGGGTGTTTGTGGTACCGTCGTTGTTTCCGTTTTCCATAACACAAGTGCTTTAGCTACTTACTTTGGGATCAGAGCAACGTATGTGTTGATTAATATTTATTTATATTTTTTAATATTTATATATATTTATTTATAATTAAGTGTTTTAATGAATGTCAAGATCTTTCACCATCATGACATTCAATTCTTTTTGTGAAATTACTCCACTAGTTTGTTATAATTATTAATACAAACTTGAACTTAGAAAAAGTCCTTCGATCCGGCCGGATTCGAACCGACGTCTTCTAGCAAACCATGCCAGACCCTATGCCAACTAAGCTATGACACAAAAAATTTGTTATGTTTTGTAAAAAGTCATGAGACAAAAACTGATGTTTATGATGTTTGTAATATAGTCCTCCGTGGTTGTTGGTATTTAATAAAAAAAGAACCCTGCTTATGATTATACGGCTTCTTTCTTCTGTAAGGATCAAAGGTAGTATACCACAGTTGGCTTCTCATAATGCTTTAAAGTTCGTAATGCCAAGGACACTTATGATTAGATAATTCACAATGGAATAAATATTTGCAACAATGTCGCAGAGGATGTAATTTGAAATGCCATTGAAATGTTGCCTTGTGTAGCGACGTAACCTTTGACCGCTGTTAGAATGGAAATTACTGCCTTATTGTCTGCCATTTTGTGTTTGATTGAGAGAAATATTGGCACTAGGTATCGATAGTAAATTTTTCAACAAGGGCTTATTAAAACACTACACGAGAGTTTATCTACGCGCTATCTTTAATGAAAATTGGTTGTATACAATTTTCTAAACGTTTTAGACTGATTACACACGGCGAGTTGTAGCATCGCGCGTTTGTATCAATGCAGTCGCGCGCTTGCATCGAGTTTACATCGCTGTTTAAAATCGCGCGCGTGTGTAAAGATAGACGATTAGCGACTGCATTGCGTTTGCATCGCCTTTGTATCGTTGCTAAAAGTCGCAGTATGTAATCGCTCTTAAGAAAGATAAATACATATTGCCCCTACGGCTTATGTGGCCTATGTTCTCTTGAACAAACTCTAATCTAATCTGGGAAACCCAAGGGCCGGCAGCTACTTTGCCCAGCGCATTAGCATAGCCATACAAAGGAGAATGCTGCCAGCATCTTGAGCACCTTGCCGCGGGGACCCAATTTTATTCAAATATAATTTAATCCTAGATTTAGTTTTTAGTATTAAAGTTTTATTTTACCTTATTGTCTAATAAATATTACTACAATATATCCTAGAAACTCGAGGAATAAAATAGAAATACGGCCCAAACAACGCACTAATTTAGAATTTTACAGTGTAACGATGTGTGCACGTAATTATTTAATAAATTACAGGATATACTTACAGGACTGTGAAAGGCATCAAAACACGAGTGAGGGTTTATGAAACGAGCCGACAGGCGAGTTTAATAAAAACAACTCACGAGTGTTTTCACAAACACTCGTGAGTGTTTTAATGCCTACTTATGTACAGTTACATACACTGCTTTATGTACACATATATAAAGCTCTCAGTGATGTGTGAACCGCGTGTTACGTCTGGCGAAATGGCGGCAAATAAAAACTTTTCTCACGCATGTCACACAAACGTAGTTTTTATTTTTAATTTATAGACAAACTAGAATCGGCCCCACCTATCATATCGTTCGATATCAAGTAACGTGTGAAATTGACAAAATTGTTTACATTTCATTTCGAATAAAACTTCATCACTTCTGATGTTAGAATTGAGGTCCAATGAAATTGTTTTGTTTTTCAGAGATGTTCAAAATTTGAATGTAATAATAACATCGAATATGAAGCAATAATAACATTTTCACAGATAAGAAATTTGTTCTTACAAAACAGTTTACCTTTATGATGGTCATAATTTGCGATTTTTGAAAACATTATAGAGAGTTTATGATATACGTGTAGATAAAAATATTTAAATAGGTCGCTCAAAACATTGATATCTCTGTGCTGTAACAAAAGAAAACGCAAGAGTAAATACAAGTCCGATGCAAAACGCTGGAGCAGGGGTGGGGGTAATCGGGGACGCTTGCACGTGCAAACTTACTACTACAAAATACAGACCTGAAAAAGTCCGATAGTCAAGAAAAACTTCAAAGTTTTTTTTGATAAATTTAGTATTCTTTGTAAAAAGCAGTAGAACAAAAGTTGTCGTTATAGTCCTGCCAGGTTCTAGCAACCTTATTTGTCTGTATTGTAAAATTGTACAAAATAAATGTACAAATACAGACAGATTTTCTAGGGCAGGTTCTTAGTTAAGCTAACCCTTTACGACATCTGCAGATTACCCACTTGTATTTTTCTAGTGCATTGACGTACTCGGGTCGCATACGTCATCTGGTGGCGAGACTGCGGCACTGGCGGCTGAGCTGCTGGCGATCCTCGGAGGGATCGACATGGAGAGTCTCTTGCAGGCCCATGACCAGGCGGCTGCGCTGTTAGACCCAGCGTGCTTCTCTAGGGGTAGAAGACAGGTACCGAACTTACTAAGTAAACATGTGTGATGGTGGGAACAGTGGGAAGGCTCAGCGAACTATCAACTTGAGACTCTTGATTCGATTGAACGCGGAGCAAGGAGACTTATTAGCGACGATAAGCTCGAATCTAAACTTATATATAATAGGTTTAGCCCACCGGTGCAAAGTTGCCTTGTAGAACCTTGTAGATCTGCCACGCAAAATTCCCGGGTTCGATTCCGGGCCGAAAGAATTATTTGTATTCCCCACTTTTACTTCTCTCGTAAGTTTGGGTGTATTTTGAGGTTGTCTATGTGTGTGTCCATAGCACCCGCGATACAGGGTTTCCCTATTGTGGGGTTATGAATGTGTACCTTATTATTAATATTATTAGGTACTAGGTACTTACTTAGCTTTGTTTTGATAGATATCCTTCTGAGAGTTATTTTGGAGTTCACAATTTCTTACTAGAAACTTAAAAGATAGATTGTAACCGATAAAACTTGTATTATTATGTATCATTTTGATAGTTACATGATACTATACTATGTCTTGCAATGTATATGTATATCGCCATCGAGTATATAACCAGAAATAGAGACGAAATGTCATTTAATTTGCTTGAAAACTATTCTGCCATATCATTACTGTGACAACTGCGCTCCGATTGGCTAGCCCGAGTTCGAAACAATTGACGGGTGTCGTCAACTGTTTCACTTCAAATCGACCAGTTAACTTGAGCTTTGCTATAATGGACGAAAATTGAAAAATTACATATGTAATATTTAATTGCCGATGAAATGTGATTCCGTTTGTTTTGTAATTAGATGTTTTGCTGTTTTTCCCATACCACCGAATAGAACAGCACGGCATTGTTAGAGATATTATTTTTATTACAATAAATAGAGAATATTTTTTGGAATACACGGAGACGTACACACAAGTCTGTAGTTGGCCTGTCTATATTTCAGTGCAAACGGGAGTTGATATTTATAGAGCTGTATCGCTAATGTGTTACCAGGAATATATGGCCCTTATTTCGTCTCTACTTCTGGTTATATACTCGATGTACATCGCTAAGTTATTTGACTTAATGTTTATTATTGAATCTAACTCTACATTCTCATGAAAAAATAATAGGAATTTCTTTTGATCGATGCACCGTGCCTTTTTAGCCAAACGACCATTAATTATTTGTGTAACCCTAGGACTATCATCATTCAAAAGTATTGCCCTTTCTTTCTAACTCTAGATTTCAGAATATCTTTAATTTTTTTTTTGTTCAACGAATAATGGATTTTTTTTAGTACTTAATTAAATTCTTAATATCGGTCAATAATCTTAGTTGTTGGTCGTGACTAGCAATTTGTGTTACAGGGTAATAACTACAATCACAAGGACGGTAAGCCGCTTACGGTGCACTCGCCCGACGACCCCAGCGAAAACGTTAAAGTTATCAAAATCGAAAAGACTAATGAACCTCTTGGTAAGTATAAAACACAATTCGTAAAAAAAAATATTTAAAAATAGCAAGCGTGTTTGGCGCGAAAAGTCGACGAATCGTATGCCTTCTCAATGTTATCACGTGATTCTTTTAACCAATGGAAAGCTCGATGCTTTATTCACAATAAAATTTAGCACATTCTTTTTTTTTATAACATCAAAGGACGGGGCGAACAAGTCGTGCGGCCTGATGGTAAGCCACACGCCTGTCCATAACAGTTACAGTGCCACTCAGAGCTTTAAATTGCAAAGATCTGAGGGGCACTGCCATCGCACCCGTCACCCTGTGATGTAAGTTGACAGGTCCCATGTGCCTGTAATTTCAACAGCACCCTTACCCTACTCCGGAACACAGTAATGCTGATATTTCTGCTTGGAGGTAGAAATAGGTATGGTGGCAGTGCTAACCTGGACGAACTCTTTCACAAGGAGCGCGACTGCTACAATTTTTTTTCTGAATACACCTTTGTAGCTGCTTTGTAGGCAGCTTTATAAGAATGCCGTGAGGAGTTGTGGCAGTTATTGTATCAAAACTACATAGCTTTCTTCTAAGTTTGGATTCTACTTTTCGTTTAATATCAGGGGAAGTATAGTCATTTCATATATAATTTCGTATAGGAAGTACAGTCACAGTTAACTGCCTCCGTGGCCGTACGGTTACCATGCCGGACTGCCACGCAGAGGTCACAGGTTCGATTCCCGGGCGAAATATTTGTATGACCTACATTTATTTCTCTCGTGAGTTTGGGTGTAATTTGTGGTTGTCTATGTGTGTGTCCATGGCACCCGCGACACAGGGTTTCCCTAGTGCGGGGCTATGTTGAGTGTGTGCGTTGTTATTATTATTATTATCTGCTAGTCGTGTATAAAAAAGTATTAAAAATAAAGCGGAGTAATACGTAAAAAAATATATATTTTCATAATAAATAGATTTCTCACAGATGGCGCTACGGCAAAAAAAGTCGTTAAAAAACCAAAAACAAAGCACATAGAGAAATTTGTAAGGACCGCTGGTTCGTTCCGTGGCTAAGTTGGCAAAGCATTCTTTCTTAGAAATTTTTTCTAAGTGTTCGACCTTTGTATTAATAATTATAACGAACCAGTGGAGTAATTTCACGAAAAATAATTGAATATCATGATGGTGCAACATTCTGACATTCAAGAAACTTAATTACAAAAATAATTATTTATGAAAATCAGAGGTATTTTGTTTTAGATTTTGAAAGACGTAATTAAGCATAAAGGATTTTATTAGGACTACCTTACTAAAGGTAATATGTTCAAAAATACGCACAAATCCTGTCTTTGTATGTGTCCTTGAGCTATTAGATTTGGACCTATCTTCCAACCTCAACTTAGGTCTAATTAACCAGTAAACAGCTATCAAAAGGTAGTTGTAGGTATATAGTTGGTAATACCTAGTGTTTGTTGATGCAGGTGCTACAGTAAGAAACGAGGGCGATGCCGTGATTATCGGCAGGATAGTCCGAGGCGGCGCCGCTGAGAAGTCCGGCCTCTTACACGAAGGCGACGAGGTATTCTTTAATTTTTACGAATATTTTCAGATTATTATTACCAGTGACCTTTTTCTTCTGGAGGTGCCATCTTCTACCGAAGGTCGTCGATCATTAGGACTATTTGTATTTTAGACACAGCTACACGGAACAAAGATCTTGTGCTCAGGTTGAACCATGTCCTGAGATTCTTAAGCCACGAAGTACGCCTTCTTCCATGCGGTTGTTTCCCTGGATTTTTCCTTGCATAATTAGTTGGAGCAGGTCGTATTTATCATTACGTATTATATGACTAAAGTACTGTACCTGTGCTTTTTTTGACAACACTCAAAACCTCTAATTTCTTATAATCTGCAATACTCTTTCATTGGAAACTGCCACTGCGCCCGTCACTCTGAGACATTAGATGACAGTGACAAGTCTCATGTGCCTGTAATTTCACCAGCACCCTTACCCTTCAAAACCGGAACACAGTAATGCTGACATTACTACTAAGCGGCAGAAATAGGTATGGTGGCAGTACTTCCCTGGGCGAATTCTTTCACAAGAAGCTATACTGTTACTAAAATGTAATAAAAAAACCTATGAAATCCGCCGGACCTTTGTCACGGTTAACGTTGTCGGTTGGCTCTGCAGCAAAGCTGGCGGAAATAATAATGAGTAATAAGTACCAGTATTTCGGCTCCGACTACCTATTTACAGCATTTGGAATCGAAACCCTTGGCCCGTGGAGTCCCGCTGCCCTTCATCTGTGCAAAATTTTATCCAAAAAATTAATAGACTTTCTGGGAAATCCAAGGGCCGGCTGCCTTGCCCGACGCATTAGCATAGCCGTGTAAAGGGGAAACGCTGCCAGCATCTTGGGCACCTTTTTTTTTTTTTTTTTACGGGGGGAAATCTTTATGGATACCACTGAGCCCAGGGAGACTCAGGGGTTATGTGGGGACTCTCCCTCCAGACTGGAGGGCCTATACATCTTGGGCACCCTGCAGCGGGGACCCAATTTTTTAATGTAATTTAATCCTAGATTTAGTTTCTTATTGTGTAATAAATGCGTGTTGAAACCTATGAAATGAATTGGAATACATAAAGAGGGATTTCCGATCGGGTCCCACAGCTGCTGGAAGTGAACGGCGTGCCTATGCGCGGCAAGACCGTGAACGAGGTGTGTCAGGTGCTGGGCACGCTGTCGGGCACGCTGAGCGTGGTGGTGGCGCCGCGACAGGGCCCGCGCCCGCCGCCTACGCACTCGCACCGCGTGCTGCACGTGCGCGCGCACTTCGACTACGACCCGGAGGACGACGTCTACATCCCTTGCCGGGAGCTGGGTGAGTCTTGTCGAATCGAGAACTGTTTTCTTTTTTGTCTTGTGCTTCCCGTGGCCGTGGTTACCATCCCGGACTGCCACGCAGAGGTCCCAGGTTCGATTCCCGGGCCGGAAGAAATATTTGTATGGCCTACATTTATTTCTCTCGTGAGTTTCGGCGTGATTTGTGGTTGTGCATGACACCCGCGACTCTGGTCGCGTTGGAGCAACAGGCCGTGTGTATCCCTAAGTTTAAAAGCATTCTATACTCTGGCCAAATTGGATATCAATTGCCAATATATTTCAAAATTTTTAATCTTAGAGGATGAAAAAATAAAATAAAAGAAAGGAGCTGTCCTAACTACGGAATGAACGTGTATAACCTAAACAAAAATTGAACCAACAAATGGCGGATTTCTTTAGTGTCGTACCATAATCTATCGATAAGTCATTATCGATATGCAGACATTTAATTAAAGTAGATCAATATTCCATTTGGGAATATTTTAGGTTATAATGGGATTATCCGGGAACGTCATATGAAATTTGGAATTTATTGTTTTGCGTTTACAAATACTCAAATATTTCGAAAAGTCAATTTGGACAGAAAAAAATTATATTTGTAATTTGAGAGTATATAAAAAAGAGAAACCTTTGAAATATAAATCCTATACATTTCCAACCTCAAGATTTATATTTTCATAGAGAAATTTTTAAACATATTCGAAATAGTGTAAGCTGTTTTGTATTTATACATTGGTATAGAATTAATATCAGTGACTGATTTAAGTGAATGTTTAATACTTCCATTTAATTTTGGAAATAAATGATAGTAGTAATATTATCAATAATAATATTATTATCATACGTTTATTTGCTTAAGAGATGGTATTCCAGGAGACAGTGTTAGTATAAACATGTATTATTTCGCATATATTAAATAGCATGCAAATGTCTGATTATACAATGTCAATTAACTACTATTGGCCGAGCGCCTTTGATTTGTGGAGAAAAATCGACACTTCTCCGAAGTGAGACAAGTAGTCATGAGCGACTGCGAGTTGTGACAAGCCACGTCAAACGAGGTTTATACACGTTAGCGCTCGCCTTCACTCGGTTAGCTAGGCGAGTGACACCGAACGATTCCAAGGCAAGGCAAATAGGGTGTCTATACGTTGTTATTGGCTTTCACCCGGCAACGTTAGACCAACGTGGTCTTTGTATTGCTGGCTTTATAAAATAAGAATTTTTAGTAGTTAGAGCTGAAGTCAGTGAGAAAAAGTCGGAAACGAGTGGATAACTTTGTTTTCAGGAACTGAGAATGCCTAGTAAATGAGTCGTGTTTAACCTAAATTAAATACAAAATTATTTACCAATAAACCTAATGATGGAATTGCATTATCATGTAATCTAGTTACATTCAAAGTTATGTTAAAATTTGACTCTTCAAAATGAAGCGAATAAATGAAGAAGATCTTTGATTCAATGTATGATTTCCAACCATTCTATTTTCTTTTTGATTTGTAGGAAAACTGAAATAGTAAAAATAATAATAATAAAAAATGAAAATCTCGTAGTGAATTACTTTAATAACAGAGTATCGATAATATGTACGCTTCCAAGAACAACACTGTTTCAAAATAATCGTTAATAACAATCGTCAAAATATACAAACAAACAGGCAATTTGAAGAAACCAAAGCAAAATTTGGTAAGATTTATGAATAAACTACTTAAATATGTCTAATTACATGAGACATTTGGGCTTTTGAGTGATTTATAGACAAAAAAATAACACGTGCCTGCACAATGTTACGTTCGGTCGATCTTCGCTTTTTCAAATGCCACATCCCGTAAAGCTGCAGCGACGAATTTTTATTAATACTTAATTGTTCTCAGTCAACAGTTTTGTCCATTTTATTACAATACATGCGAATAATTCAATAAAACACTTGGAAAAACATTTGTTTTGACATTTGATGTACTTCCCTTTGACAACCGTAACATGTACCTCATGTGCTGCGAAATGGACACAGTTGGCATTTAAGATGACGTTACGTATTTTCGATTGCCGTGTTTGACACATACCAATGTAATGCTATCTCTTTTGGCTTACGGCGGCACGCAGTAATTAAACAAACACAATAACATGTTTATGTTTTCGACGTCGAAATGCATCATATACACATAACGTCTGATTTATATATGTCAACATAACATGTCCTTTAGTTTCCATAGTCTAAGTATTTAATAGTTGCTGCTTGTCAACTTTATTATTATTATTATTTCCTTTATGGCGGCCACTAGCCTTGTGCCAGTGTCAGTTTTATAAGAATAATATAAAAAATAAATGACTGATTATATGAATTATGAGTATTATATGAACTTTCCTGTTGTTAGTTTTCACCCCACACACTAGATAGATACATGAGACGATTAATTTTCACAATTCGTCGTTTCATACTGATCGACGAATCGATAGTGTATGTTTATGTCGTTAACAGTTAACTTGAACGCCAGCGGAGTAGCGACGAATCGATATGTTTATCGTGACTATCTAGGACTTACTGGGTAGTAAATGTTAGTTAAGTATTTTTAATTAAGTATCCGATTTGAAGTATATAGTCCTCTAAATTTCCCTCTTCAGGTATAAGCTTCCAAAAAGGCGATGTACTGCACGTGATCAGCCGGGAGGACCCCAACTGGTGGCAGGCGTTCCGCGAGGGCGAGGAGGACCAAAGCCTAGCTGGACTCATACCTAGTCAGGCCTTCCAGCATCAGTATGTATTGAACATGTTAGTACCTAGGCCATGTATAAGGCCCATTTTCCACCAAAGCAGAGATGAGATGTATTTAAACAACCAATTCGATTTCGTTATTTTCATTAAACAGAAATGTCAAGATAACGGAATGATATTTGCGCAATTATCAGTTTTTTTAATAATTTCACTAACTAACGAAGTAAAAAGACATTTTCAAGAAACTAATCGATCTAAAGCTAGTTAATAAATTATTTGATAGATTTTTTACGGCACATAGTACACCGCCCTTTCATTTATAAGGTTTAACAACTTCTGTGTACCATATTACTTATTATATCTTATCGCGGACTCGAGTCCAAAAAGAACTCGAGTCGTAAACCTAACACGAGTTGTGAACAAAGCTTGAGTTCAAAAACTCGACTCGAAGCGACTTCTACTCTACAAAGTCTTGGGTACGACAAGCAGGGTTCAATTTTACTGAACTGCTACCCACGAATTAAATAAAAAACAAAAACTCAATATGGTGACTTTAAAAAAAATACATAATTAATACTTAATTATACTACAATTTAACATGCCACACTACAACACCGCTCAGTACGTACTTACCAGACTCGTTACATAAACAGACTCGAACTCAAGCGCGACTCGTTACGTGAATAGACTCGAGCACTAATGTCGAACTCGAGTCTATTCGGAAACCAATAGTATCGTAATACTTCGAGTAGTGGAGTCTCTGCCTTTATGAGTCGAGTCTTGTGAACTGGAGTCGAGTCTTAAAATGTAGACTCCCAGACTCGAGTTTTTTACAACACTATTAGAAATTGATGCGTACACTACTTTTTGGATTGAATTATTTGATTGAACTTAATAAATAAAATTTTGTTTTACGAGTTCTAAGAAGAGAGTCCATAATGTCACTGTAATTATTTATTTACAATTTATTAACTTTTGGCCACAAGAACTAACCATTTTCATACAAATACTTATGCCGTTACAAGCGAATACGAACATTGTAGTCGCACGGTAGAGGTACACAATACTTCGCTTGAGCGCTTCTTATAATTTTTAAACAATGAAATTGGTTTCATTGTTAAGCCATAACGACATCTTGGTACTTGGCATTTATTAAAAACAATTAAAGTAACAATATACGCGATATCGTACTTTTGAAAGTTCCTGCAATACTTGATATTATTTCAGCCCACTTATATATGTTTCCAAGTAGTTAAGTATCGACTTGTTTTTAATGTTCTAATTTTTATCTGGAATATGATAGGTTAATAGAAAAAAACTGTTGCCAATAACTATTGCATCGTGAAATTGCAAGTAGCAAATATTGTTCATAACAAGTATCAATGCCTTGCGCACCATTATACCCTAACAACAACCCAACTGTTACTTTCAATTTCTAAAACGTGGTAATTTAAATGAACGACCATTGTAAATTGTAACTTCTAGCGTTTCAGTGAAGTCGCTACTTGAACGAAATATTTTTTGTTTTCTTTCTTTCATTCTAAACTGAAGTTAAGTGGTTGTGCTTAACAATGAATGCAATGTCATTGTTTAAAAGCGCTCAAGTGCCAGGCGAGCGTGTTAAGTATTTGCATAGAAAATGTTAGTAAGTCTGTTATCTAGATATACTCAACGTTAAACTCATGCCATGACATGCCGCATGTCGCTGCCGCCGATGAATTCGACTGGCGTAAAATCAGCGTAGCGAAACGTGGTTCTATTTTATTGAATTATAGTTATCGGTTTCTTTACGATACAATATTTCCGTACAATTGAAATTAATTACATTTCTGTGTACATACATCGTGTTCACACTAGATTTAAATTAAGAGCGTATATTTTACGTTTTTTAACAAATATTTTTTGAATTGATTACCTACATTTCGTAACAGTGCATACATACTTGCGTACAAGTTAAGGTGTAAAAAACGTTCAAAATAAATACATAAAACAATATTTTAGTGTTTTTTAAAAGCCCATATATTATACCACGCTGATTTCACGTCGATCAGGCCGTCGCTAACCATTTTACGATCGGCGCATATGTCGAGTAGGTAGCCAGTCCAAGGCACTTAGTCAATTTGCATTACTGCTGAATGGAAGTATTTTATGCAACGAAATAGAGTTTAGCATAATCAATTTTATGTCAATTTTGTAACGTATAAACTAGATGTGAGCCAAAAGAACCGCGTATCTTCCGTAGAATTCTCGAACAGCCTCATATCTTTCTTTCTTATTTAGCAGCATACCTACTATTATTTAGCAGCAGTAAAGCTCCTCATGAAAGAGTTCATCCAGGGTAGTACTGCCGCCAAGCAGTAATGTTAGTATTACTGCGTTCCGGATTTGAAGGGTAAAGGTGCTGGTGAAGTGACAGGCACATGAGACTTGTCAAATTATGCAATGCAACTGTTATGGACAGGCGTCTAGCTTACCATCAGGCGCACGACTTGTTCGTCCCATCACTTGATATTATAAAAAAAGAAACATTAGCTTTCATTATAGTGATCCACCCTACTGACCTTTATGGTATAAACAAAGGGCACTATGACCTGAGCAAGCTCGAGCGGTCTCGAGAATTCCCGCAGCTACATCATCTTGTTTGTATGTTACACAATTGGCATAAAGTCCGTCATGACGTACCCAAAAAAACTAGCTTCCATTCCAATCCGCAACAATGTAAATTGGGCCTTATTAGTTCTTGAAATTACCAGTTTATTTCATAAAACAGTGCAGTTATAGAGAAAAATTGACAAATGCTCATTGAATACATCTCCTCACTTCTCCGCTATGGTGGATAGTGGGCCTTAGAGCCTAGATGTGTCACTTTACCTGTAGTTAATTTGGATATTGTTATTTAACCCAAAACGGCGAACCAGGAATTTCCTGTCTGTAAGTATAAATACCACTCGATTGATGAAAATATATCTGTGAATGTGTGCTGCCCTGGTATTTCGTTGTTATTAGAGTCAAGTGTTGTATTTATCGTGTTTGTTTTAGGCGCGAGGCAATGAAGTTGACGCTGGCTGGCGACGTCGGGTCTCGAGACAAGTCGCGTAAAGGCGGCACGCTGCTCTGCGCTAAGAAACCTCCTAAGAAGAAAAAGAGCAAAAAGGCCACCAGCGAAGCTGGATACCCGCTTTACTCTACGTCTGGCACCGATGGTACGTTCTTGGGAGACAATCTCTGTCATTCCTTTGATTAATACAGCAAGGCTTAAAAAGTAGAATTGGATCGATTACACATACTTTTTTATTGCTATTACGCCAACGGAATAAATCCATCAAGCCAAATCTTGAACAATTCTTAATTTTTCTAATACTGTGTTTAAAATATTTTTTTCTTTGAACATGTATCTTTTGCAGGTATTTTCCTGAATCATTGGATACATTCTTTAATAATGTGTGTGTTTAGATAAGTCTTCGTGTCTAGTAGATTTTTGAAATCGTTTTTTTTTTTATTACGGCTCTGCATTCAAGTACCTCACCGTAAAATTTAATACATTTGTTCAGTTTAGTCTGAAGTTTCATTCTTTTTAATTGATTAAAATAAAAATAGAATAGAATAGAAGTCCTTTATTACAACGCTACGACACAAAAATATGCAGAAAGAAATAAAACAAGAAAAAGTAAAACAAAAAATAAAAAAACAAAACAACTAAGTAAAGATAATCCAATTTTAAAACATTCTGTGGCGTATGTATAAGGGTCCACTCAGCTAGTGTCACAGCCAAGCAAAGACTCTGACGTTGATTTTCGTGGACCCTAAGTATGGGCCATAGCTTACCAGTCTACATTGTAAGATGTAGGATTACAAATAAATACAAATAAATGCTTGTTGCAGAATACGAACAAGAAGAAATCCTAACTTACGAAGAAGTAGCGCTATACTATCCACGCGCATCGCATAAACGACCGATTGTATTAATCGGACCGCCCAACATCGGTCGTCACGAACTGAGACAGCGTCTTATGGAAGACAGCTCTAGATTTGCAGCTGCTGTTCCACGTGAGTTTCTAATTCTATTCTACCCATATTCTACCTAACAATCCGTGGCAACATTACTTGGCAGAGGTTGAATTTCCAGCCGCCTACCATTTATTATCTGTCGGAGTAAAGGGTGGGAGCTAGGACTTTTTTCAGTACAGCTGCATTTTCGTTCCGTTACAAAAAATCGAGACTAGGTGCGGTCTCGAAAATCCCGGGAAAAACGAGACTGTCAAAAGTAAATTCCATACTTAATAGAGTTAAGCATTTAGGCAGTTAAAACACGATATTTTTATTAAGTTCTTTATTAACTCAAGTTATTGAACGAAATAACATTTATCATTTCTGCTAAATTTGAAATCCGTTTTTGGACAAAATCCCTAACCGTACACCCTTTTAAAGCTTAAAATATAATTTCTAGATCTTTTTTAGTTGTAAAATAAAGGTATATCATCCATTGTCATATACCTATTCTGCTTTTTGTGCCTAAAAAATTCCAGTTTCAAAAGTACGAGGTTTACGAATTTACCCCACGATAAGAAAGTTATTTTTTCAGTTTTAAAGTGGGTAGGTAACATGTAGGTAATAATAATAATAATAACGCACACAATCAACATAGCCCCGCACTAGGGAAACCCTGTGTCGCGGGTGCCATGGACACACACATAGACAACCACAAATTACACCCAAACTCACGAGAGAAATAAATGTAGGCCATACAAATATTTCTCCCGGCCCGGGAATCTAACCCGGGGACCTCTGCGTGGCAGTCCGGTATGGTAACCGTTCGGCCACGGAGGCAGTTAGAAAACAAGGAGGTAGGTAAATAACAAAGGGCATCTAATACGGTTTCAGGTAGAACTGACTTTTTTACTACAGTTTTTCAACCTCCACAGATTATAACTCTGCCGTCCGCTAACTAACTAACGCGGCTAAGTGACAAAATTATTTTTTGAGATATCACAAAAAATAGAGATGCGCCGAGTACTCGATTGCTACTCGGTACTCGGTGTACTCGCCCGTTTCTTTACTACTCGTACTCGGCCGAATAACTCGATTCATGAGAAGAGTAGGTACTCGGTTAAAATGGAGCATTACAGCTATAGACATAATAAAGCAAAACCAACAATATATTTAAAATAATCAAAAGAGATTTATTACTAGAAATTCTAGACAATTTGTAGCATATCGAGTTCTTAGATTTTCGCGATTGTTACACATAGGAAATTAAACTATTTTTCCGGATTTAAATCGCGTATATTTGTTTTTTCAAACAAACCGACGTTTCGGGCCCTTTACAGGTTGGTTGGTTGAATTTGTAGCAATATAGTAATTTAAAAAGAAAGTTTACATTATTCATATTTAAAATGTAACAAAGGTAACTTATGATGTAGGAATACAAGGCTTTCTGCGCGTTCAGGTAACAGTCCGTTCCTTTTTCTTCATACACATTACCCGCTACGTAAAATAACCGCTTGTTAAATACAATGCTTGTAGGTGCACATAAACACTCGTGCTAACTGTGCCAGTTTTGGATATGTTGTTTTATGCCCACCATTGGAAAGTACTCAGCTTTTGCGACAAATGAAAAATTTGCGGCAATGGGACTTCTAGGATCATAGCGTTCCGGTTGTAATGAACCGACCGAGTAACTCGGCCGAGTACTCGGCTCGGCAAATGTTAAACCGTAAGTAAGTAAGTAAGTAATATTCGGTACTCGGTTACTCGGTAGGTAAAATTTGTACTCGACTTATCTCTAATAAAAAACATAACCCAGTTTTATAATATTGAAATTGTTAAATGGTATTTCAGCTATGTATCGTTAGGGTAAGTTCCGATAAATCGAATACGTTAACAAATTTATACTGTCTTTAAAAAAGAATTTTGTGGTCTATTTTTTGTTATTTAAAACGGATATTTGACCCAGATGGTCGACTTCACTTATCCGAGGTCACTTAGCAGAGTTTTAGTTAGTGGACGGCAGAACTAAGCTCCACTCTACAGTGTTACCATGTCCAGACCTAAAAACCGAAATAAAAAATTACTGTTGGTTTAGTAGATTTTTAAAACTTCTTAATTAAATGACTTAAAGCTCAAAAGTCTCGCTATTCCCGAGACTGAAAACCCTAGTCTTGAAAATGTCAAAAAATTGTCGAAACTCGAAATTTTCGAGACCGAAATCCGTGGATGAAAGCCCTAGCGGCACTTGGCAGTCCGGTTATTAGTGAAAATGATTTTTACTAAGTTAAGGTCTGTTTGTATGCTAAATCACAAAGATGCGAGTAATTCTACAAACATTATATATACATTTCAGATACGTCGAGACCGCGAAAAGACCACGAGGTTCCTGGGCAAGATTATCATTTTATTTCACGTACGCAATTTGAAGCTGACATACTGAACAGAAAGTTCGTCGAGCACGGCGAATATGAGAAAGCTTATTACGGTAAGATCCTGCTTCACTTGGTTACCATTTTGAAATTTTGAGTATTCAACAACGAAGTCTGTTTCGACGCCAATTATTTAAATTGTAATACCTATACAGTGTTTTTTTTAAATGGGACAGTATTGGGAAATCCGAAACCTCAGAAGATACTGAGTTGTCCAGTAAAATGAATAGTACTGATCGACTCAGTTTCACGAAGGGATCATTTCATTGTATGGGACGAAAAGAAACGGGACAGCAAAAGTCGGTCAAATTTCATAAAATGTTTATCGTTCAAAATGAATTAAATTGGCTAAGTTTTTTAAATGCTGATAGACTTAGCTTCTTATAAGGACGCTTTCATTATATGTGACGAAAAAAATTGGGATTACGGAAGTTAGTCAAATTTAAGAAAATGATTTTTCATTCTGTATACTGCATTTGTAACAGATTTTGTTTAAGGAAATAATTAATTTCTAAGTTGCATTTGTACACGTTTAAGTGAAAAATTCCGAAAAGTAAATTAAAATTTGTATCAAAATGAAACATTACATGGAAGATTTTCGTCGACCTGCTGACTCGTGCTGCAGCTAAGTTCGCAGAGTGACACTACGGTACAGCGTGGTCGCAGGTTCAAGTCCTGTCAGGTTGAAGGAATTTTTCTTTGTGTTCAAGAAAAACTCACAGGCGTCATACGTGCTGATTTCTAAAATTAACGTTACTTACAGGTACATCATTAGATGCAATCCGTGAGGTCGTAAACTCAGGCAAGATCTGCGTACTCAACCTACATCCGCAATCGCTCAAGATCCTTCGCAACTCGGACTTGAAGCCTTACACTGTATTTGTGGCGCCACCTAGTCTCGAAAAGTTAAGACAGAAGAAGATTCGTAACGCCGAAGCCTTTAAGGTAAGTCAGATTTGTGAACATTTGTTCATTTCCTTAGATGAAACTCATGGAATGTAAAGATAATTATCTTATCTAAAATTTCAAATTCTTTAAACAGCCTCAGTGACTGAACGGTTACCATGCTTGTCTGCCACGCCGGGAGATATATTTTTATGGCCTACATCTATTTCTGTCGTGAGTTTGGGTGTCTATCGATGTGTCCATGACCCACCCACGACTCAGGGGTTACCTATCAGTAGTTCGAAATGACATTAACCAGAAATAACGTTTACTCGAATTTTCATAACCTCGAAAGTAATTTTGAGAGGAAAATGTTTTTTCTTTTAAACCTTTTTTTTTGAGAGGAAAATGTTTTTTTCTTTTAAACCTTTTTTTTTGAGAGGAAAATGTTTTTTTCTTTTAAACCTTTTTTTTTCTTTTAAACCTAAACCTAACCTAACCGAACCTAATCGTGTCTTTGCGATAAACATCCAATATATCCTGAAAGAACAACGGTTTCGTTATAATTTGGTTTTCAGTGTAATGAATATTCGAAGAAACGTTCTTTCGGAAAAAAAATAATTCGAGTTTGTGATAGGTTGCCCGACACAGGGTTTCCCTATTGTGGGGCTATGAGTGTGTGTTTTAGGTTACAAGATTTATATCTATAGTAATATTCACGTAACAACGATGACAAATCGCGGCTTCTAAGTCGAAGCGACGCGAATGATGTCTGCCACATCCTTATAGTAATACCATGAATCAATAACTAGAGAGGACTGGTTAATCTCCATACTACATATCGTAACTTTGAAAAAAGTCAAAGTCCCAACTGTTTCAGGAACATAATGGGCCTAATATATAGAATAAAAGATCAAAGCTGTGTGATAACAACTTCACTGTATGAAAGGTTAAAGACGAATGGAGCCGTGGCACACGTCACAAATTACGTATAAAAAGTGCCTGTTAATAAACTAAAAGCAAACATTTAGAATTATGTTATAATCAGTGATCGGAATAGGTAGAGTTTTTTTACCTAAACTTCGAGGTACATAGACAGAAAATGGAGACTGCCTTACGACAATATCTTTTAGGTTCTGGATCTTTTCGGGATTGGGGAAATCTCTATGTACTTAACATAAAAGATTGACGTTATTTGGGATAGGCAGGTAGACTACAGTTATCTTAACTATCCGACGATTTGTTGCAACATAAATTTTTTGGAATATATAGGATTTTTTCCGGAATATATAGGAATAGATTTCCCCAAACCCGAAAAGATCCAGAACTTAAAAAATATTGTAGTAAGGCAGTCTCCACTTTCTGACTCTATTCATCGAAAAAAATCTGCGTATTCCGATTACTGGTTATAATTAGGGTTGGTAAATTTCCGAGAATATTTCCGAAAATGGAAATATTCTCGGAAACATTGCGAGCATGTTTCGCAAATGCGAAATTTACATAAAAAGTTGAATACTTTGGTGCAAAAACGTTTTTTTTCATATGAAGAAATATTTTGAAGTTAAGTTGATTGACACATTTTAATTCTTATTAATACCACAGAAATCCATATTCATGAAAATACTGCAAAATTTCTTAAATTTCCTTATATTTCATAGAAACTTTCCACGAAATATTTCAGAAACTTTTTGGAAATTTTTCAGAACATCTTCATTATTTATATTGTTATATATAATTTTAATGTGGGGATCAAAATAATGCATAACAAAGGTGATTTAAAACTTTGTATTAAATAATTGAAATTGAAAAATTGAATAATAAAAAAAAATGCTATACAATAGGTATGTAAGAAGCTTGTCGCACTTTGTAGACCAATAAAGTTTTAAAATATAATCAACAATAACAATTTATAAAATAATCAACATATATTATAGTAAAATTATTCAGTGCTCAAACATCAACAATTATAATTAAAATAGGTACCTCAAGAACAAATAACAAAATCACAGATTGGTTCTTAATTATGAAAAATACTGGGATTAAAAAACTTTAGAATCAAAATAAAATATAAAACTTAATACTAATCTGTAAGGTACGGTCAAAATTTTGTTGGTCATCTGACCCAATTTTGTTGCCCAAAGAAATTATTCCACCATTGGTACTTGGTGCAACGGGCTGGTATCCGCAACTCGACGACAAAGCGCCTATTTTGCGTAATTTTTTAATTATTCCACCATTATTTTTACTATTATTTCTAAATCTCTCAAACAATATATTATCAGAACAAATAACGTTCTTAAATTTTTTAATTAAATAGGTTCATGAAAACGATTCCTGTGGCAAATTTAATACCCTAATTTCAACATATTAACTATTAATACATATACGGTATAAAAGTGGCAAAATCCAAGTGTATTACGAATATTTATTTCATTCATTCTTTTGATGAGTATGAAATTTCCAGGAAACTTTCCATGCAATTTATAGACATTTAAGAGAAGTTACGGAAATTTACTTATTTATTCCGATTTCTTCAAAAAAAGTATTTTGGTTTTAAAACCATGATATAGAACTATAACTTTTCTTAAATGTTTCTTGAATATGCGATAGTAAAAATGCAAAGTAAATATGTAAATTTCCATACATTTCGCGTTTTGAGAATGTTTCCGAAATATTTCAAGAAACATTCAGACTGGAAAGTTTCCAATTTAGGAAAGTTTCCGGCTGCCCATCACTAGTTATAATACATTTTAAACTAATTGAAACTATAGGCGCTGTATAATTCGTTTTTTCGGAGTAATGAAAAAAATTCGAGTTTGTGATAGGTTACCATTTACTGGACTTTTAACAAATATGCGTATTATTTAAGATGGCTTAAAATTTACGCTAACATGGGTAGATGGCGCTAATCCTAAATAAAATAAAAAATAGCCAGCAAGTAGCAATACGCAGTATCCATAAAAATGTACATATATACTAAGCGGTGTCTATGATTTTTTTATATGGCGAGGAGGATTCTGTTACGAATATCATCAGCGCTATTAAACACTCCACCATTTTGTTGAGCTGCAGAACTTTTTATCTCTCACCATTGTCGTTTTTTACTTAATGCAATTTTATATTTCTGCGGCAGCAAAGAGTAAGCGGTTATCTGCAAAATCACGATTTTAAAGTAAAGCGCTATGAAAGCAAAAACTTGAGAGAATGATATACAGGGTTATTTACAAAAAAAATGCAAAAAAAAAAGTTGTTTTCTATGAGGTTGTAAGTATTTTACAAACAACCCAGTTTATATATTCTGAATGTCCCTTAGATATTAGTTTTTTATCAATATTTAATTTGAGCACTGAGGCAATCCTCAGTGCTCAAATTACATATGAGTGAAGACCACGTCTCGGCAAATGTAACGTATGACTGCAAGCCTGCAAGATGGACCGACGATCTGAAGAAGGTCGCGAGTAGTGGTTGTATGCGGAAAACGGGTGACTGGGCTCTTTGGCGTACCCTTGAGGAGGCTTACGTCCAGCAGTGGACTGCAATAGGCGGATTGATTGATTGACAATACTCAAACGAATTTGGTCTGTTACATCAGAAAATATCAAGTTTTTACTTTCAAAACGCTCTAATGTAAAATCGTTATTTTGCAGGTAACCGGTTATCCATTGCTGCCGTCGATTTACTTATTTGGATAATGTTGAGATAACCGATTTTATTATTTTATTGTTTTTCTTTTGTCAAATTGTAAACGCTTCTAATTACAGGAAGAGGAATTAAAAGAAATAATCGCGACGGCGAGAGACATGGAGGTCCGCTGGGGGCACCTATTCGACATGATCATCATCAACAACGACACGCAACGCGCGTACCAACAACTCTTGAACGAGATCAACAGTCTGGAACGCGAGCCGCAGTGGGTCCCGGCGCATTGGCTGAAACATACCTAGCGCCAGGCGAACTACGCTGCTTCTGCAGCCCCTCTTGTCCCGACGTACCCTCAAGAGACAAAACGATACCTCATTACATTCGGGTTCGGTATGCTCAAGCTCATATTCCTTATCGAGGTAGCAATACAAATGGTTTTACATTTGTTCGGCTTTCTCAAAAACTGGACTTCGAGAAGATTCAAGTTAGAACGTAGACACGAGGGTAGAGAAGCGGTAGATGGAAATATAGAATTTAGATATGTGTTCCCAAAACCTTTAAATGAAGGAAACAACAAATTTAATGAAATCGAAAAGAGATGTTTGTAATGTTTAACGTTAACCGTATCGATAACTAAACTCGAGATTTCTATTTTAGATTATCGATGCGAGTTTTAGTAGGACTGAATTATGGTAACACAAGGATTTGACATTCTAAATTTAAAAGTTATGAAATTGTTGCCATGTGAAAAAAAATCTCTAAATATTTCTAGAGGGTACTGTTTTAGCCAAGTGACTATAAATTCAAATTTGGCTTGAATAGTTATTCGCAACTCAAGAAAGAAAAGATCTTTCGGTAAACTGGTAACATGTATTGTTCTTAAAAATTGTCGAATTCGATACCTGTCTCGATATAGATAAAGCTGTCTCGAAAGAAATCGTTTTAGTATCGAAGATCTTCCATTGGTAATAAAGTCTACTTGCCTGTTCAACTTCATCGCCTTTACTGGAATTGGTCCATAGCATTATGGCACTCATCAGAATTTAGTTAACAAGGCAACCGATCAATTTGATACAGGGTGAAATTTGTTATTTCTTGAAAATGTGAACTTGAAAACGAACAACTTTGAACGAAACTCTTCAGTGAAAAGTAAGGTTCTTACGCTTTCAGAAGTTTAACTTAATAAGATTGAGCTTTTATGTGCTAAATTCGAATGTTATAATAAAATTTCACCCTATGTAAAGGCAATAAATAAAGAGTTGCTCTACACAGCGACAAGATTTCGAGCTTATTTAAGTTTAAATTCGAACAGCGGTGCGAATACTTATGATATGTAGGTAGAGTGGTAGAACGAGAGAACGTTACATCACAATCTTATTCGGTTTTAGTCCCTGCTACGTAGAATAGATGAGTTTAATTTTAAAAGGGAAATGTGACTGCCTTTTAAACATTACGTAAACACTTTCGACAGCTTTTTTGTTTTAAGCCATTTGTCAAATTTAAATTCGTCGTTGAAGAGTTATGGAAAAACAACCTACAATCGAGTTTGTGTCTCTTTAGTCTTGTAATAATAAAAAAAACAAGAGATTTGACTAAAATTTTAGAGCTGTTTATTTTTAACGTCTTATACATTGAGTTATGGTGGTTGGACATGTTGTCCAAAAGTATTCTATGAGCGACAACTAATTTGACAGCTTTGAAGAAAAACTAAATCTCCCATTTTTATCTTACAGATGATAAGAGACATTTGGAACTAAAACTTAGTTTACTTCGTTTGCTATAAATTATTTTTTTTAAACATTGACTGCTTAATGACAACAAACTGTTATTATAATTAACTTTGTAAATAAAATAAAAAGTTGATTCATTTGACTCGAGAGTGATTTTTTGGAAAATCTCAAATACAAGTGTCTGGAATTGTTTAGCGTAATTTTGAGAGGCTGTTACACGCCCTTGTGGCATTGTTTAGAACCATTTTTTGTATCCATGTTAAAAACTTCAATGGTTAAGCTTAGTATTAAAAATTATGTATGTACATAATGGATTTTTTAATTCGTATTTATTGCACATTGAGAAACTCCTTCCAAATAATAATGAATTATAAAATAGACGTGTTGATAAATCGTTGAATTTTTACAGTTACTGTTAAATTAATCTTACGTGGCAAATTAAGAAGGAGATGACTCCTTTTCTCCTATTTACATAAGTTATCTTTGATTTCTTTAATCTTTATAGAAATCAATCTATTCTCATTATTAGGAGATCATAGACTACTTCTTAATTTGTCATGCAATGAAGCCAGGGAATTTATAGTTTGCAAATTAAAATAGATAGTTAAATAGAAAAAATAATACGTGAAACAATAAAATATTTCTCATATTGCCAAATTTTACTATAGGTAAAAAAAGATAGGGATTTTCGAAAGTTTTCTCCAGTAGTTTTCTCGTGAGTCTCTTATGAAACTTGGAGGTAGCAAGTTAAATGATAAAAACTAAACCAAGTTGTAAACACAAGTATGATAGTGAGTAGGAAAGCAATATTTTATATCCGTATAATCAATTTTACACAGTTCGATGACATATCTGATTTTTATAGTCTACCTTCGTACTTCAAGTAAATATAAAAACATTTTTCGGTCAAAATCAAATTCATTTTTCACCATGTATGCTACATTTGGGTACAAAAATATTTGCTTGTAAAAGTCTTGAGTCTGATTTCTGTGTTACGTTTAATTCTGCTATAAAAATATAATTATAATAACTCGACAATTATAAACTTAAATTTCATAGTGCAGCTATTCTTTCACAGAAGCGCAGCGTACACTAGCCAATAAAATTTTGAGACTGATCGAGATTTACGTTGTCGAGTTATTCGTACGGTTACATCGCTTGACGTAATGATTCTACATAATACAATATAAGTAAAAACGTATTCCAAATGTCCAGATTCCATAAATGTTACAAAGTAAGTGGGGAAATAAACACATAAGGTGCGGGGAAAATGTAGCACTTTCAATAAAAAGAAATTTTAGTTGGTTCAATGTAATTTATATTTATATCTTGACTTAGAATTCGATCTGTAGTTAGTTTGTTTATACTATTTTTCTAAATTTTTTTTGGGCTGGGTATACTGGGCAGTAACCCGGTAATCATTTTGTTGCTCTGGTACTCATAAGTACAAGGAGTTTCCTAGTATGATACCAGGTAATTGATGTGGATGCCTGTCACGTTATTATTATTTGTGTGTCAGATTGAGTTGCGCATTCCAAATAATTTAGTGCCAAATACTAAAGGCTACGCGGAATAGTCGACATTCATTTTAATCACAATATTAGATTTATTTTGTATGTTGTAGGATTTATATTTTTACCCTACATATAGAGTGATGAGGTTTAAGTGTCATACAGTAGTTTTACTTCAAATTCTATCGACTTTTTTTGGTAAATTATTAAATTCTGGTACATAATCGACACTAGAGAATGTTCGTTTCGATTTGATAAAATTCGACTTGGGCAAATCGATAGAATTCGTCGTGGGACTTAGCACTATTTTTTATTGATTAATAGTGTTTTTGTGTTATAGTTTTAGTCGAGTAAGTTTTCATGTACTTGAGTATATAGTCAGAATAGCCTGTCAGGTGCTAAACGTTTGTATACCTACCTTGTTTTATCAAATTTATATGTTGCACTTTAATTATTATGTTGATTTTGTGCATGAATGATTTAACGGCAAGATTACGTATGACTTTGAAAAGTACTTAAGTTTGTATTAAAAATGCTCAGTTTACTTGATAATTTCTGTAGTTATAATTTATCATTCATGCTTGAGATCAACGATACGTGGATTTGTGGAGACTTCACAGTATTGATATTATTATCTTATTTATAAATAGTTGTGTACATAATTTATTAACAATTGAATGAATAATAAAATATTATAAATAACATGTTAATAGAGAACAATTTAATGTAAATAATAGAATACCTATTAAATTTAATATCAGATATAATTTTTGTTTTCATTTCTTGACCAACATTTTTTGAATCGATTATTGAAAAGCTTGGTTCTGTATGAGAGGTTCTCGAGATTGAAGGATGGTAGTGGCGGAATTCGCTTATTTTAGCTTGGAAAGTAAAACATGACGTTGCACCTCTACATTGAAAGTGATCCAATTAAAGAATCAACAAAATTATACCGTAAAACGACTTCAAATATTAACTGACTCCGTGGTCGAACGATCAGGTACATTGCTGGAGGACTGCGCAGCAGTCCTGGATTCGATTTCCAGGCCGGAAGAAATATGTGTACGGCCTAAATTTATTTCTCTCGTGAGTTTGGGTGTAATTTGTGGTTGTCTATGTGTGTGTCCGTGGAACCCGCGAGGCAGGGTTTCCCTGGTGCGCAGCTACGAGTGTGTGAGTTATTATGATTAGTATTATCTTTATTTTTCTCATCTCGTTAGCTGCTTTGAACCACACTTGCGGACCGAAATCAAGCAAATGCATGTCTATGTTGGGGGTGGTGGTGGTGGGTAACAAAAGGCTACTTCGTCCTCTTTCATCTGCAAGAACCTTCTGACTATTATGTATTAAGGATGGCTGCCTTCTGTAACAAGTGGTATATGTTTGGTGGGAGATTCAGGGAATGCAATGACTTCTGTAGCTGTTTAGGAATGACGCCTGTGGTTGAAATAAGTATTGGTACTATTACTACATTCTTTAAATGCTATATTCTGGTTATTTCCTCTTTTGATTCTGTGTATTTAGAGAGTTTTTCTGATATTGTAGACTGTAAGTTGTGGGTGTTTGGTACAGCAATGTCTATTAAAAATTCGGTTTTGTCAATCTTGTTTACTAGCGTGATGTCTGGTCTATCGTAGTGTATGGTTCGGTCAGTCAGAATGGCTCGATCAAAATATAACTTGGCTGCAACATTTTCAAGTACGGTTTCAGGTGTGTATTGATAATAAGGCTTTATGGTTTCCAAAACTTGTTACTGTTCGGCATCTTTTGATGGATGATACTGGCTACTTGATCGTGTCTATGTGTATAGTCTGTCTAGACTATTGCTTTACATGCACCTGTAATGTGTTGGATGGTTTCGGGGGAGCTATAGCATTTTTATACACTTGCCTAAAGTCAGCGTCTTTGTAATGTATTTTTTGGTAATTTCTGATTTCAACCACTTGGTCCTGTGTTGCCAACATGAATCCTTCCGTTTCTGGGAAAAGATCGCCGCGGTTGAGTCACTCGTTTGATTATTATTATGATCTATTTTAGACTTTTATAATTATTAATTAATGTTTATAAGGTTGTTAATTTGGAACTAAACCATTAGAGCTCAAATATAGCACAGACTCACTACATGAGTCTCTTGCATATGTTTGAAATTCCATTTCCGCGTGTATGTTGAATCTGTATCTGCAAAGACAACGCGTCACCACCTTTGGCTAAGAGTAACGGATTAGCAAATAAGCCGTTTTCAAATTTTTACAAATGCCATTTATATTATTATTAGAGTACTCTCTTTTATAATTAAAACGGCTTAATCTTGATAACATCATAACATCTATCTTAGCTGGTGAAAAGGGTGGTGAATTTTTTTTATTATATCAAGTGACGGAACGAACAAATCTTGCGCCTAGTGGTAAGCGACACGCCTGTCCATGGCAGTTGCAGTGCCACTCGGAGCTTTAAATCGCAAAGGTCTAAAGAATATTGCCACTGCGCCTATCACCCTGGGACTTAAGTTGACAAGTCCCATGTGCCTGTAATTTCACCTATATGTACATAACACCCTTACTCAATACTAACATTGTTGCTTGGTGGCAGAAATAAGTAAGGAGGCAATACTTCAGTAGTCGAAATCTTTCACAAAGAGCTCTACTGCTACTTTAACTTATTTGGTCAAATGACAATGACTTTATAACGGCCAATTTGTGTTATTTTCAATAAATTATATTTTTATATGAAAGTTTTATCATTCTTTTCCAGGACTAAACGGTCATTATCATAAACGTCACTAATTCAAATCTTATTTTAAGTATTCCGAAAAGTTTTATTTTGAGTCACTCACATTATAACGTTGCGAAGTATTTAAAATAGCGAATCGACGCAACTACGCTTATTAACTTATAAATAAATAAGTCGCCCAAATTAAGGACACGAACTGTTATTACACTTCCAAATTAGAGTTAGGGTCCTTTGAAACGGGTAGTGTAATAAGCGTATAAATCACGCTTCTATACCTGACTGGCAACATTTTAAAAACTAGTTCCGTTTCCTTCCACAATCGCCTCTTTTAAGACAATAAGACTTCTAGTTCCGCTACAAGGTGAAGGTTTTGATAGTTTCTTTAAATAAATTGTAAGTCCGTGCTCGCGTAGTTCTGTGATAAGGGCATAATTTGTCCCCGAAGCTACCCAAAGCCATAGAAGTAGTAATACTCTTTCATGGCAATATAAAAAAAAAGGTTTGAAAGTTGTTTGATGTTGTTATTCTTACGTAATTAATTTTTAGTTTAAGTATATTACGTTTTGAGTTTCTTAATAATTGCTACCTTTTTAAGCTGATGGTTCTGTAGCCAACACTCAACAAATAAATAAAATAAATCCGACTTTAGGCTTTTGATTTTGTAACATTTAAAACTGCTTCATTTTTGGGTGAACCTTTAATCGAAATTTCTCCTATTTGCTGTATTTCGAGAAGTAGAAGTTGATGGACAGATGTTAAATTTCTCCCTCGTGCATGTGCCTAAGAAACAAAATGGAACTTGGAATACATGGAAGACAGCATGTCCTTTTTACTAAAATGTTTGAATAACACAAAATATAAGATTTTGCCCTAAACATTTTTTCCTAAATGAGCAAAACAAATTGACACAAAAAGTGATTCAGTTTTACTATACGAAGTACAAAGGTCTATTGGCGAGTATTATTGACAAGTTCCAGGCAAGTATTACTAGATGGCGCTAATGTATCGTGGTACTTAAGCTAAAAAAAGTTTTATTATTGTGTAATGAGTGTAAATGTAATTAAACAAATAACAATAAAACTCGCATTAGATTATCAATTACAATAAATATATTAACAATTAAGAATGTGAAGATATGTTTATTTTTTACATGCATGGCAACACTGAACCATTCAGTAACTAGTCAGTATTTTTTTGTATCCACTTTATACTTAAATTAACTTAAAAAGTAATTGCTGTTTTATAATAATTTTCATATATTTATTATCTCTAATATTTCGAATGAAATACTTGAATCCAAGGTCACGAAATAAATTTTAAAAAAGTTGGTGACGTGCCATTACTGACACTTGAAATTTTTCAAAGTTGTTGGTCTGTGGTTTTCAAAACGGAGCGAAAGTTTTGTTTTTCTTCTTTGGTCTTATAATTTCAAATTCTATTACACATTTATTTATCTAGCATTGTAAAATTTTATGAAAATGCCGTCAATGAAGGTGGAAGGCGATAGTGATGGTGACGGAGACATGTCGGGGGGTGACACAGAAAGATCTGGGGGATCATCTAGGGGGCCAGATAGGGACTCCAGCGCCGAGGAGGCTGATGAGCCAGATTCTGATGATTCCTCAGAGATGGACGAGGGAGAATGCGAGCGCCGACGGAATGAATGCTTGGACAATTTAGGTTTGTGTACATTTTGAGGTTATGTTTACAAACAATCGCATTATTGCTACAGCCTTGATGGCAAAATTTATGACATAAGTTTGCTTTCAAAGAGTTTTTGAAGTTTTTCTGTAAACATTGGTTATTGTAGAAATATTTCAAGGTTGTATTGGGGTTGTAACTTTATTAAATTCTTGCAAGGACTTGTTGCATTTATTGTTTGAAAACATTTTGTGCTGTTCTAGATAGCATATACATTTTCCAAAGGATTCTGTTTACAGAATTTTGTGCGCCATGTAATGTTCATTGATTTGCGCAAGAAAAATGACAATAGGGAGTCCTGTGATCAAAACTTCTTTGTTATTGCATGACAAAAATGTACAACATTGCTTCTATGCCTCACCTACATACTGCACCTTGTGCCATAGCGTGTAATGGTTAAGAACCCATTAAGAATAAAGAAATACACATACCAGAGCAAAACTAATAAATAATAGTACAATTTAAATTCAAATATATTGAAAACTACACACAAGACACAAATTAACATTCACAAAGTATGTAATTAAAAAATGGAAACCATTGCAAGTCGCAACAGGGATTTTAAATGTCAACCTGTCAATTCGTAAACAACTGTTTTTCCATTGGGCTACTACCACTCATCAATCATCAAATGGTTTCAATATAAGTTGGTAGCTTTATAACAAGTACGTTTTGGAGCAATAAATCTAACCAAACCAAAAGCGTACTTTGTGAAAGAGATCGTCCATGGAAGTCAAAGTCAAATACTAATTTATTCCATATGTGAAATGAATTTACACTTGAAAACGTCACTTTTCTCCCCTGAGAAGATTGAGCAAGAATTTCTAGAGATTGCTCTTTTCAAATAAACTTAATTGCTGTAGAATACACTTTGAATCAAATTTGTGTGGAATTTAGAGCCATGTTGTCTTTCCATACATCTTTATTTAACACGTCTTCAATTTTGTAATATCAGTTTTATTTATTTATTTATTAAAGGACATCCAACAGCATACATTTAGAACTTAAAAAATAATGTTACATGAGCAGTGCATAATGCCAATTAGAGGATATCACAAAAGCTTAGAAATATTATGATGCGACATTGTGAGTTTCTCTACAATTATTTATAAAATAAAATTTAAAGTTTGAAAAGAACAATTAAAAAATTCATAAAATATTACAGCAAACACCATTTCAAATAAAAATAACAATATTAATTATATGTATAATTAGTAGTAATAAAAATAAAAATTAGCTAAAACCTGATGGTGGACAAATTACTCTTCTAGTTTGTTGCTTAAATGAATGCCTACTATTCGAAAAAATGTCATTGGCACTATAAGACTTATTGTATGTGGTTGTAAGGCGAGAAACGATCTCGTTCTGGCCATAGTTAGTACAACTAGGTGGAACGTAGAAAACCTTATGAATTGAGCTACGGGGTTGATGATAAGGCACAACAAGGCGAAACAGTTTTCAATTAAAATGTTTTAATGTAGTCTTTAAACTTAAGAGATGATAATCTTAATATATGCTCTGGAATCTTATCTTATTGTAAAACGTATACAGGTCCCCATAAAAGAGTTATTTACTTTGATTAAACAAAATTGTGGTACCTTGAGTTTGAGCTTAGTTCTAAGGTTAATATTATGGATATCTTTTTCTTAATGAAATTACTTAAATGTACTGTGATGCCAGTCATGATACCAGCCTCTTTAAATTTTTCTGTGAGATAAGCCCTGATACAATTCTTATTTCTGCCAAAAAGCAGTAGTGTGAAACTACAACCATATGGGACTTGCTGTCCTTAAGTCTCAAGGTGACAGGCGCAGGGGCAGTGCCGCTCGGGTCTTTGCGATCGAAAGTTCTGAGTAGCATTGCAACTGTTAAGAGTAAGCGTGTTGCTTACCTCCAACACACAACTTGTTTGCCCCACCACTTGATACAATAAAAAAATTACGTGATAGATTTAATAACATTTTGTCTTCTCAGATAAAACTCAGATATAAGAAACGTTCTGCTATCATTGAATAGTCTGCCCCATGATGGGCATAGGAAGTTCCATTCAGAGAAGGCGCATGCCTCTAACAGAGGACATAAAAACTGTCAGAGCCAGAAAAGTCCTTCAGTTCTTTAATGCTGTTGGCCTGATGGTAATGGAATGAAGCTGGTGAAATGAACTAGTGATGATCAGAATTTGATCAGTTGCTGGTCACAGTGAAGAAGGAAAGCATAGGCCCGAAATGAAGCCACCCATAATAATAATAATTTTCTATTTTTTTTATTCCAGCCAACCTAGAGCGTCAATTTACGGCATTAAGAGAACAGCTATACAATGAGCGTGTGAAGCATGTAGAGCACCAACTCGCTGAAGTTAGGGGTGGAAGATCACAGGAGTATCTTGGTCCATTGCGGAGACTACAGGACAATATGAGAATAAGGTGAGGAATGAAAAAACCTTTACTATTATATATTTTAAAGGAAAAGTAAAGTTTACTTGTTAATTCTGAAATAGTGATATTAGAACTGACATTTTTAAGATATCTTATGACGGGACGAACCAGTCGTGCGGTTGGTAGTACCGACACGCCGTCCCTAAATCGCAAAGTGCGCCCTTAACTCTGAGACATAAAGGTGACAAGTCCTATCTGCCTGTAGTTTCACCAACGCCTTGGCCCTTCAAAACGAAAACTCAGTAATGCGTACATTATTGCTTAATGGCAGAATTAGGTATAAATATAACAGTACTTTCTTGGACGAATTCTTTCACAAGGAGCTCTGCTGCTACTACTATTTACAACATGTTGGTGTTGGAAGGAATTAGTTCTTTGTAATTCCATAACACATGCAAAGGTCTTCAATGGACTTCCCAGTCTTTACCTAAGGTATTTTCGCTTATAATTTTTTTAATAAACGACGAAATCTTTTTGCAGAATCGAAGTGGCAGGAGTGCTAAAGCAGATGAGAATCGACAATATCAAACACAAGTATGAGGCTGAGGAGCAAGCGGCACACCAGAATTTCAAGGTAAGTCTTTGACATTCTACTGATAACCCATTAAAAAAGCTGACCATAGGAAATTGTAAATAAAATATGTCTATAAACTTTTTTAACAAAATTATAACATTAAATAAAATTAATTATGGTAAGTGAAACCAAACAAATTTTCCTAAAGTCGAAGCCTCTCAAATTACGGAAACAAAATCAGCTGTTCTATACAAAACGTTCATGGAAAACTGGTAAAATAGATAAAAATAACTTACATGGCATCAGAAAAATATATTTCTTTTATGTTGCATGTTTTTTTTATTTGTCTCTTTACCAAAAGTCACTTTTCGATATTCGTAACTTTTTGTTATCGAGAGGGTAGTATAGCATACTTTTTTTAGGCGATTTGAGTAGTTTCCATTGTGAAAATTGTGTGAATTTAAAGACATTCCCGATTAATGTTATTGGACCTTGTTATTAGAACTAACACTGTAGGTTTAGCTACATAATAGTATTTAGTTTGTTAGTTATCATTTGAATAAGAAACTATTGGCTGCTTTTTACAAAGTGATAGGTTACTTTAAAAGAAAAACCTCCACGTAATTATATCAAAGCATAATGCTGTGTTCTGTGTGTAAGTCTTTCAGAGTGTTGATCTGTATTATTCTTACACTACAATGTATTTTTAATAAAGACATGTGTGTAAAGAAACAAGTAGTATAAAGAACCATTGTACAATGTACACGAAACATAAATAAAGATTCTTTTGTCGCTAAATAGCAATATTTTCTAGTTAACTTACGGACAATCGGCTTTTTATTTCAAACCATCATGCATTAAGTTATGCAACGCACATGAAGTTTTTTTTATGTAAATTACAATGAAATATGATAAGAAGGAATCTTATGCTCCGCACGCCATCACAACAGTCGCCACGTCACGGGATCAATTTATTCTGGACAATTCGATTCTACTACAATAAAAACCAAATAAAGATGATCTTGTTAAAATAAGACAATATTATTTTATGTGTTCATTCTAACAGTATTCACAGACTCTCGTATAACAGTAAGAAACGGTAATCAAGGCCATTGACCTTGTTTTGATCTAACTGCATCATGCGTAGACACATTTGCTACGGCGTAGGCCGTAGCTTGTTCGTAGCTATTGTTTTTTATGGCAATTTACTATGCTACTACATAATTGCTTTTTAGTCATTGACTTAGTAATTAATCTGGCGGAGTAACTCAAATTGATCTTTTTCAGTTATTATCTTTATTATTTATCTATCAGTAAGTAAGTAAAATCTTTTAAACTTCTTAAAATATTTTTTAAATATTTTGTTGAACTAAATTGTACGTCTAATCTTTTTATCTGCTGTAATCTAACTTATTATTATTAAGATTTGTTACATTTAACATATTAAACTATCCACAAGATACCTATAAGTTACATGTTCAATCACGTTCAATGTTTTATACACTTATCGAACACATTACCATTGCATTATATAAATTAATATTACCAACAAATTTTTCTATGAAAATTTCAAATTCTGAACTGAATACATTAGATTTTATTTTGATAAGGCATTGAGTTGAATTTCATGCATAAAGCTGAGCATGCTGTTTTTTTGTACATCTGCGTAAAACTTTGACGAACGAACGGAATGTAAATAAACACAATTTTGTTTATAACATTTCTCTCTGTATTGTATTTAAATCAAACAACATATCTTTATAACCACATTTCTATAATACGTATTTAAACTCGTCTTATAAATATAAATACCATTTGTGCTAGCTGCTATCAAAAAAGGTAAGTGCATTTTTTTCATATTGTTCTTCTATTTATTCACGGGCTATCATTCATGCCCAAATGAACACACATGTGAGGGTTCAACGTCAGATTGAGTTTATTCCTGTCACTGGCGCCACCTAGTTCCATACATATGTTTCTTTTGTTCCGGTTATGAGCGAATGGTGATCTCACTCAGTTGTTTACTTAGCCACATTACTTTTGTGATTTGGATTTGTTAATGTATCTTATTCTTTTTTGACAATATTTATTAGTTCGTTCTCTGTTAGAACTATACTGTTTTTATGAACATTTACAATTATTAATTATTTAATATATTTAAAGTAAAAAGTAATCATATTTTTTGTAGGAAATGAAACTATTTTTCCGGACTTAAATCGCGTATATTTGTTTTTTCAAACCTAAGAACTCGATACATATTTTTTGTGTTCTATTTACCACATTTCACAAATTTATAGTAATAAATTTGTTATTGTTACGATTATTAATACAGAGATCGAACACAGCAAAGTTTCTTCGACCCGCTTGGACTTGAACTCGCGACCATGCTGCACCGTAGCATTACTCTTATCAACTGAGCCACAGGACAAGCTACCGAGCTGTCCAAAATTCTCCAATGTGTTTTTGTTATAGATATTTGTACTGGCTTTCGTCATTCGTCGCCGGTAGTGACATCCAGTGAGAGATTTTAGAAAAACCTTAATAATCATAACTAAAATAGTAGAGTTATTTCATTAAAAAACTGCCTCGGTGGCCGAACGGTTACCATGACTGCCACGCAGAGGTCCCAGGTTCGATCCCGGGCCGGGAGAAATATTTGTATGGCCTACATTTATTTCTCTCGCGAGTTTGGGTGTCATTTGTGGTTGTCTATGTGTATGTCCATGGCACCCGCGTCAAAGGGTTTCCCTAGTGCGGGGCTATGAGACCCTTTCTTGGCTCTGGAGCTAGGAGCATGTCCATTTGCTTAAAAAAAAACACATAAATCATTGTCTCCTGTTGTAGTAAACATATATATAGTACGAAATCCGAATTGCAAATGTTTGTGAACATGACAGATTAAACAATACTAGTGAGGCTAGAGTGAACAGGCGTTTTTTTTTAAACAAATACGTACCATTTTTGATCATATCGTTGCTTAACCTCCGGTGAGATTCTGGCTAAGTGTGTATCTATTTTACATAAAAAAGGGAGTTTGTGTCGTTTCTGTTCTACTTCAAATGGTGTACATTTTGTTCATCCGGAATAGTAGCAGTAGAGGTCCTTGTGAAAGAATCGTCCAGGAAAGTACTGCTACCGTATCTATTTCTGCCGATTCCGGTTTTAAAGGGTAATAATGGTGCTGGTGAGGTTACAAGGACATGGGACTTATCTCAATAGGGTGACGGGCGCTGTGAACGCTGTGACATCATGTGTGTGTGAAAACTCTGAGTGGCGCTACAACTGTTCTGGACAGTCATGTCGCTTACTACCAGATGCGCGTGTTGTTTTGTCCTGTTACTTGGTATCTATGAATAGTGAAAAGTTTGATTAATAATTAACCAGCCCGTTGCACCAAGTACCAAGTACCAAGTAGTGAAAAGTTTGATTTATCATCCAAGTTAGGTTCCACTACAATGTATAATAATGATGTTGTTTGTCCCACTTGGGTAATAAGCACTTGAAGAATAAAAATGTTGACTGCATAAAAAGAAAGTGCGCTTTGTGAAAATGCAGCCAAAAAGTCTTAGTTTTAAAAAAAAATAATTTTATTTGTTATGATAAATATGTCGCACTTAGTCAACGTAATGGTCATGAAATCAAATACTATACTGTTATGTTATATTATTTGTGTGGCCTACATTTATTTGGGTGTAATTTGTAGTTGTGTATGTATGTGTCCATGGCATCCGCGATAGAGGGTTTCACTAGTGCGTGGCTATGAGAGTGTGCATTATTATTTTCTTCTTTCTCAGCCTCTTCTTTCTTTGGCTGTTTTACATCATATTTATGGACCGAAATCAAGTAAATATAGTATGGCGTGTATCTATGTGGAGGGTGTGTTATAAGGTCCTACTTCGTCCACTTCCATCTGCATGAACTTTCTGACAATGCGGCATATATTTAAAATTGCTGCTTTTTGCAAAGTAATGTAGAGTCTTTCTACATTACTTTGCAATGTAATAATTTGAGGCTATGGAGAAGATGATTGGGAATAATATCTTTTGTGGAAAGAATAGATTCTTGTCGCCAAATTCTAGACAGTTCATCCTTTAGCTCTGGGTATTTACTTAGTCATAGTCTTATTATTATTATTATATCTATTTTAGACTCGACTCTCCCAAAGTCTAAAAGACTTGAATTTTTAAATGGGGGAGACCGTATTCCCCGGCAATGGCACAGTCGGCCGGGCTCATTATTTATTATTATTATTACTACTGTCGTAACTCAGAACTGATGAAATTGAGACAAGACGATTTGAAATATGAAAAATTATTTAATTGAACCAATTAATTTATCATCATCATCATGCAACATATGTATATATAAAAGTAATCCTATTAATCGCAATAAGATTCATTCTTTTCTGTTTAATTTTCAAATTTTGTTTTTCAAAATTACATCATTTTTAAGTTACGACAGTATTTGGTTACATTTGTGATAAAACAAAAATATCTAACTAGTAATCAGTACACGAAGGATACATTAGTTTCCTGTGTAATATTTGTTTACTCTATGTAACACTCTTACTTACTAGAGTAAGTAAGAGTGTTACATAGAGTAAACAAATATGTAATTGTAAACAAATGTAATTTCCACGTGACATAGATGTCACGTGGAAATTACACCTGAAATAACTAGCATATTAAAGTTTCACCTCTCATTTATATATGACAGGGTTATGTTTGTGTAACGTCGCTTTCACAAATCGACATTGACACAAAAGGTCGTTTGTTGTATGTACATTGGAGCTACAGCCGTTATCTCACAAAGTTGAAGCGTGATAGTTGCAATATGTTCTCTATAATCGCGTTTTTAGAACATGGATCGGAATAGAGAGACAGAGTATATTTGTTTAAACTTCAAAGATGTAATACACATAGTGGATATTATATTTCTCTGAAATTCTGGAATTATTGCTTGCCCATTGTACTACGGTATTGCATTTAAAAGGAAAATTAAGTATTTTGTTTTGAGTTTTTGTTTTAAAATTCTTCCGTGATATCAGGTTTTATCCACCA